CCTGGAAGAGTCCTTGTACAAATGAGTCATTGGCAATGGGATCAGTCATTTTTAAGGCTGCCCCATTTTCCTAATGTGAAAATGCTCTCAGTCTTTATAGGAGAGGAAGAAGCAAAGCTGCACTTGCATTGAGAATAGGAGCTAGGCCCCAGAGATGCAGGGCATGGGCTTGGGAGAGGCGTTATGGGATGGCTCTCCAGGGTGGGTCAGTGGGAGATGGACAGCGAGGACCATTTGGAGAACCTCTTCAGTGCTTGGGGGATTACTGGCTGAGGGCTCATAGGTCGGTGAGGCAGCAAGGCTATTCCACTTCCCTGGCTGCAATGCCGTGAAGTACCTGTAGCATGTGGTTAACTCACATTGGCTCAACATATCCTTTACTCTTATGCATTAAAACAACATGAAAGAAACTGTGTGTTAGAGATCGGTTGCCTCCATTGGCAACTGAATTACTATTATGGTCCTAGTATGATCCTTGAACACTTTCCATGTGTTTAAATCCAGATACGGTACGTCTAGTGAAAAATTTGCAACCATCCAACATAATTCCCCCGCCCCTCAAAAAAAAAGTAACATTACCCCATAGACAAAATTACATAAAACCTCACAACATTCTTGGGGGGTAAATATCATTATGACCTTACATTTTTTAATCAAAATATCAACATTCTAGTTTCAAATAACAATATCCACTATTATGATATTTAAAGGAAACTTGCATTCATTTTCTTCCAAGTACAAAGATTTGTCTATCATATTGATGGCAGGAGGGATCATATTGATGGCAGGAGGGGTACAGACTATATACAGCTTGGATAAACAGACATACAGTCTTGTGTTATGAGCTCGCGCAAGTTTAAGGCCGACACCTCTTTTGAGTCCGTAGTCCTTAGAGGCAGCAGTCCCCAACTCTGGGTTCACTGATCACTCGCAGAACTGTCCAGTCCTTTAGTCTTAGAGGACAGAGTCTTCTTCCTAGGGTGGTCCAGGTCTAGCCTTTGGTTTCAGGTCACAATTGTCCTCTTTATAGGCACTTAAATACCCAACTATTCTGCTTTTCTGAACTCTGCCTATACAGTCTCTCCGAACTATACTTTCTGTCTAGGCACAAAAATAGTTGCCAGTTCTTTAAAAGATAAGCCATAGATATCACTGTGCCACAGACACAGACAACAGTGTGGTGATTACCCGAGGGAAAGGGGTGTGGGGGAAGGTAGAGGAGGGTAAAGGGGGAATAAATGGTGACAGAAGGAGACTTTACTTTGGGTGGTGAACACACAATACAACATACAGATGGTGTATTATGGAATTGTATGCCTAACACCTATATAATTTTATTAGCCAGTCTCAATCCAATAAATTCAATAAAAACATAAGAGAGAGATATCATTGTATACCTCTCTTCTTCTGCACAGCCTGATGCTATGTTCTAGGACAAAACTTTCATCTCGTTTTTTACTCTTCTTGAACTCACGAACTCCTAATATAGAGTCTTTGTGAAAGAACTTGGACATATCTGAAGGCTCAAATCTTGAGTGTCCCTCAGTTTCCATATCTCCACTAGAGATCAAGATACCTGCTCCCAGTGGGATACACTTTAAAAGTTAGAACTTTAAAAGATTTAACATTTCCAATATGGTCTTACTGCTCGCCCTGGGATATACAGGGTGTCCTCAAATAAATGTATACACACTTTAACAGCTGATAGCTCAATTTTGAAAATGAAATGTATTTTAATAAACACTGCCTTATAATTATTCAAAGTGTGTGTATACATTTTTGGAGGACACTCTATATATAAAAAGTGCTTTTCCCCGTAAAACATTCTAAACCTCACACTGAGCAAAGGAGAACAAGAAGAGTGATACAGAGGCTGTTTGGGAAAACTTTATGCTGATGTGAGCTTTGTAAATAATACAGTGTTTCAACTGAGTGAAATTTTGTGTTTTAAAATTTTTTTCTTTGCAAAAGAAATGTCTGAGGTCAAAAAGAAATCTGAGGTCATTTTATATCTGGGCCACAGTGAGAATGGGCCTCCTAGCAAAATGATACGTGCTGCATTTAAAAGGTGAGAAGTTTTGTCACTGACAAAGTCAGAAGCTGAGTCAGGAACGGCTCAGAGGTAACAAAGCAGAAGATTAGCTAGCTTATCTGTACCAAGGCACATATCTTTTTGGGAGAGTGACTTAAGGGATGTAAAGACTGGTAGATTTATTAATATTTTTTCCCCTGATAACTGTCGTGGACATTAACGGGGGAGACAGTTCTCTCTACTTCTCTACCAGTAGGACACACTTCACATAATGAAAAAGAACATTTGGGGAGCCAGTTCTCTTCCTTTTCCACCCTCACCCCAATTCTGTCACCTCGGCTGCAAGGGAACTTTTCACGGGGTTGGATGTTTCTCAGGTTGTGGCCTCCTGGGTATGTGGTGGGAGCCCCGCCTGATAAGAGGGTTGGAGGGAGATGAGGAAGAGAGACCTACTAAGCTCATGCCCAGAAAGACTCGGGCTGAGAAGGTAAATGTGCTGCCTAAAGCTGCTACAGGGTTTCCCTGTCCACCAGGGGAAGGTGTGAGTCCCGACCCAGCCCTTTTCTCTGGGAATCTTGCTAAGATTCTCCTTCACCCTCTTGTGCTACCCCAGCAGAGGGTGGGGGAGTGGGGGTCATTAGTCAGTAGAAGTGCCTACAGAAGGCAGTGTTTACCTATGTGGTAGTAACCACTACGTACCACCTGGCTCAACTTTAAGATTTAAGAATGTGGAGTTCCCACATATAAATTTTCTCTGGACTGGATGTGCCCCCATCAAGGCTCAGAATGCTACAATAAAAGTGCAGCCTTTGGAAATCATTCAGAAGACCCATTAGTCACAGGGAAAATGATGGTCATAGCAACAAAAAGCATCTCAGGTGGGTGGGATGGGCCTTAGTTTCACTACTTAGGGTGCAAATGTTGGTGTCTTCAGTGAAGACTTTCCCAGTAACCTGGCGGAAATGCTGGCTCTGCCTAGCTTTCTTTCCTACTAATCCTTACTTTCAGGTTCTCTTTCTTTTGTCCCCTGAAGAATCAACAGGATGTGTGATATTTCAAGAATATAATAAGCAGCTCCTCTTTCATAATGGGTATAAGGAACCTGGCACAGCTTGGAGTCTAGGATTATGGAAACACAGTGATAGAGTGAAGACTACACACCGAAACACATCTAGTCTTTTAGCAGAAATCTCCAACATGTTGGGACTGTTGCCATGGAATTTCACACCATCTTTTTTCCTGAGACAGACACCATGCTACAAAGAGGGATAAGCCATTTGCGCAGTCTGAGGTGGAACATTTTAATTACATAAACGAGTCTGAGCCTAGTGCATAAATCCTTTAGAAATATCAAGGCAGATACATAAAACGCGAATCTACCAGGAATTTGGGATTCTTGGCTCTGGTAGAAATGTTCATGAAGCTGACTCTTAATTTGTAAATATGCTCTGTAAAAATTGTCCCTGGAAGCAGAATTTATTTTCCCTAACACAAGCTCTAAAAAAAAAAAAAAAAAAAAAAAAAGGCTCTGGCAAGCAGCTGCAGGTGCCAGTTTGTGTGTACACTTTGGGGAAGATCAAAATACCTTCCTGTTTTTTGTTCCCCTCCACCATCCTCTTCACATTCACAACTCAGTGGTTAAAGGAAAAACTTAACAACACTACCATTTTCACACCAAGATACGTGAAACAGATATTCATATACAGACTTTTTTGCTTAATACTTAATGCTGCACAAATGCTAACTTTTTCAAATATTCGTGGGTATTTAATACCCATACATTAAGAGCTTTGAAAAATAAGTGGTTATGGAATAATCACATAAATTTAGAGTTGGAAGGGACCTTAGAGAATGTCTAAATCCAACTCTTATCCAACGGTTGAGGCAACTTAGTTTTAACAGTTAAGTAATTTGCCCAAAGTCCTACAGCTAATTAGGGGCAAAAGTGGAATTAGCAAACAGATTCTGTGATCCCTACTCCAGTGCTAATTGTACAATTATCACAGAGCTCTTCCTTGATAGCATGCCTCCAATAATTAAGGATAAAGATGACCAGAGCCAAGACAGACATTCAGGAATCTCTGAGGAATACAGCAGCTCCATTTAAAATGGGAAAAAAAAAACCCAACCTGCCTGATGAAGAGCCTGCCAGCAGAGGTGTCCCCCCCTCACCCCATCGTGAAGCTCAGCCCTGATCTAAACGACACTCCTGGTGTCTACCCCTGAGTCCTCTCCCGTGGGGAAGAGGGAGATTAAGTCATACTTTCTTTGGTTTTTGTTTTTAAATTGTTGGCAAGTTTGTTTTGGGTCTATACACTGATACTCCGTGAAGGGGACCAAGAACTTCAGGCAGGTGTTGCTGTTTTTCCTCCCTGGCGGTGCTGCTAACCCTCTTCCTCCTCGGAGCCCAGCTATGTCCATTTTTTTTTTAATTCTCATCCAAGGATATTTTTTCCATTGATTTTTAGAGAGTGGAAGGGGGGGAGGGAGGAGAGGGAGACAGAGAGAGACACTGATGTGAAAGAGACACATAGATTGGTTGCCTCCTGCTGGGGGTCGAACCTGCAACCCAGGTATGTGCCCTTGACTGGGAATGGAACCAGAGACCCTTCTGTGCATGGGCTGACGCTCTAACCACTGAGAACACTGGCCAAGGCCCAGCTCTGCCCATCTTGATCACAGGAAATGGATGCCGTAGCCCATGGTGAACAACTTCCTGGAGTTTCCATGACAGTCTATACTGAAAGCCATGTTTTTCTGGTACAGAATTTCTCCTGTAGGCGAATGCTTTAACCCAAAGCAGCTTTTAATTGGAGAAGGTAAAGGGTAGAAGCAGATGTATTATCAGGTGACTTGGGTTTGTTTTCTTTGCTTATGTGATAAGAAATGGATCTGATGCTCCAAGACTGAGTCTTCAGTTATTTATATGACTATTTTATGACTATTCTTATTTTATGACTATTTTATGACTTATTTTATGACTATTCTTTTCCTTACTATTAGACTCTAAGTGGGATGGGGAGATTAGATCCTAACCCTTCCACTTTTTGTTAAGTGCAGAAGGACAAGACTTCCAACAAGGTCAGTTGGTCAGCTCTTCTTCTGTGTGGACCTGGGCTCATGATCCAAAGGCTTTTGCACGTATGGCTGACATATCTCAGAAAGAGTGTCTCATGAAGCACTACAGGGGACTCTTTTGACTGTCAACAAATTCCAAGGAATGCCTGTTCTATTGATGCAAAAGAGTGACCAAATACTTCTCTGGTTTTTAAATATCATAAAATTCAAGTCCCTGATGGGAAAACAAAGATTTCACAAAAGTAGTAACATTGGCATTATCTGCAAACAACTTCTGAATGGAGACAGCATTTCTCTGTTGCCCATGTGAGCATGACTCTCCAAATAAAAGTGGTATGGAAAAGAGTTTGGAACTGAGTTTGTTTTTGAGAGTGACTTGTTAGGCAGGGGTATCAGTTTTTAAAAACAATGTTGAATGCTCAGGCGTGAATCATCTCCGGGATCAGATGTTCACTTCAGCATGGCTCTGTGTTCTCCTCTGGCTATGTGAGATGAGAACTCATACCGATCATGGCTTCGATACCCACACATGTTGCACTCAAATGGATCACGAAAGCCGTGGCAACCCATGTGAATGGTGAACATCACATAATCCAGGAAGAGGACTCGACAGTGGTCACACCGATACACATCCATCACCTCCCCTTCTTTGTTGATCACTTTGATGGAGTCTCGTGGGCAGATGGGTGGGGGCTTGAGGAGTTCATAAGGGCGGGGGACCTCCTTCAGAAGTGGCATCCCATTGCGGGCCCGAGGAGGGACCATGTGATTTTGCTGGTAGATGTGATTCTGGCGTTCTTCATGGTTGCTGTCAGTGTCCGTGGAGTCCTGGCCACTATTGTTGGGGGAGAGGCCTCTTTCAGAAGGCAGGCTCTTCTCTGGCAGGTGGATGTTCTTCTTTTCCAGGTCCTGGGGGGAACCATTTGGCATCTCGGCACGGGTTAGGGCTATGGGATACATGCTGCTGATAACTGGAACCATCTCTGAGGTGGGAGCAGGTGGTGTCTGGACTAAGGGGCGCAGGGCCTCGGCACCAAGATAGCTGATGGCGTTATTGATGGCTTGGTCCATCATCCGGGTTTGTATTATCTCACTCTCTTTCTCGTACATGTAGCTGGGATTATAGTTGACATCAAAGCAGTGGCGCTTCTCACCTAGAACAAGTGAAAGAGTTACAAAAGGAAAAACACAAAGGCAGAACATTTATAAAATGATTTTCCAGAGTCCTTGAAAAGTAAGAAAGGACATGTTGCCTGCTCAGGAACACCCAGCCCAGGCAGAATGGTTCCATATGGCACCAAAGTCTCAGGGGACAGTGTTTGACAGCACATGTTTGGGCAGTCAAAATAAGTTAGGTTAGCAGGCAAAAGGAGGAGTCAGAGATGTCATTAAGTTGACTACAATGTGAGTTGTTTCCACTGCTCATGTTAGAGGGGAACTCTGGCGGAAACAAAGCCAGAGAACACGAGGACAAGGTTTTTAAGGGGGCTCCCTGTGCAGGAGCATGGGGGCATCTGCATTTCTGCTCATGAACTATTAAGACACAGTCAATTCCCCAACTCTTATTTGCTTGTCATTTTCTGCTGGTAACTTAAGGAGCAAGGGAGACAGAAACATTGCCAAAGAGGGGATGATCTGTGACTGGCCTGCAGCTTCTAAAATAGCTACAGGGGTAGAAATAATAGCCCCAGAAACCCCCCACTCCCTACACTTGCCACTCCCCAAACACATCAGTTGTCAGACTGAGATTCAAGTAAAAGAGCTTCAAATATAGAAAGTTTTAGAAAAGCTTTCTTGATGAAAGATCACAATCTTTGCCCCTTTCATAGAGTGTGTGATTCTTTTGCTTGAAAAAAATGTGATCATTAGGACCTATCCCACACTTAACTGAAAAATTTATTTGTGGTCACCCTCTCCTACTTCTCATGTCAAACTGCTGAGAAATTTTGAAAACAGAGTTTAGCCACCTTCAGGGTGTGTGGGTGTCGTGTGTTAGAAAACTGAGGCTCTCTGGCCACAGGGAAGGCAGGCACAGGGTCTGCAGTGATGGCAGATGTGCTCAGTGGTGAGTGGCTGGTTGAAGGGAGAGAAAGCGAGGATGTGTCAAGAGCTGGAAGTGGGCCTGAGGTTATTGCTGATGCTTTTTCGTTCTGTAGACATTGGATTCTACAGAGATTTGCTGAACCATCTCCTCTCTTCTGTAACATTTCTTAGGTATGTTGTGGTTCCAAAATTTGTCACCACCATACAGTAAAGAGTTCAGTAATGAAAACAACAACAACATAAGAAAACAAAAGAACTGGAAGAATGAGTTCCTTTTCTTGAAGTCTCTCCAACCTACTGGGAGAGAAATAAGACCTGTACATATGGAACTGGAGAAAAATAAATGTTAAAAGTTGTGAAAGGGATGCATCCTATGGACACCTTTGATTTTATTCTAAATACCATGCTTGAAGGATTTAAGCAGGATAGTAATATGTCTTCTGTAAAAAGAATTATAAGGCATGGGCAAGGTAGTATGGACACAAATCATTTACTTAAGCGAATGCGAAAATTTTAGAAGTACTTGGGGAAGGGAAATCATTCTTGGAAAACCTGAATTTTGAGAAGAGTTTTGAAATGGTAGGATTTAGATTTTCAGAGGTAGATGAGACATCCTAATTGAGGGAGAAGCATAAATGAAGGCAGAGAAATGTGCCTTGAGCAGGAAAGACTAAGAGTCTGGGTATAGCTAATATCAAGAAGTATGAAGTAAAGTATTTCTCAAACTTCACTTATTCCTTCACATTCTGCAATATTCACACACCAGGGTGGTTGACAGCATGAGTGCTCGAGTCACATGGACTGGATTTGATGCTGGCTCATCAGTTACTAGTTGTATGACCTTGGTCAAGTTACTTAACCTATCTATGGCTCCGAGCCCTCCTGTAAAATGGGGATAATAATCGCATCTACCTCACAGGGTCACTGGTAAGCACTTAGAACAGTACCTGATACATAGAAAGTGCTTGGTAAACATCAGGGTTTTTTGTTTTGTTTGAATCAGTTTCCTTTCTTTCTTTTTTTTGGTTAAAATAAATGTTTTTTAAGGAAACTTCATATCACTAACATAAACGGAAAACCAGAATCACTTGCCACAAATAGAAGATAACTATGAAAAATAAAGACGATGAAACAGAGCAATCGATTCAATTGTGATCAGACTCTACTGTGAGTACTTGAGACAAAGATCCCCCGTCTTTGTTCAAAACAGAGATCACCAAGTGTGAGGTGAGTGTTCAACAACTAGCATCAAAATAAGTTTCAATCTTTCTCCTTGGTATAATCAGGGAGATTGAAAGAGAACTAAAAAGAAAGTAATTTTCTTGCCATGTGGATTAAGGTTTTTAAATGCATTGTGGGCCTCCTGGCATTTTGCATCCCACATTTTGGGAGATACTGAAAAAAGATACCACATGGTGGGCATTCTGAATGGTCAACCATAAGGTTTGGATTTGAACAAAGAGCAAACCACTACATGCCCCTGAGCAAGGGAGGCTTGTGGTCGAAATGTTATTTTCAGGATATTAATGTAACAGCAATGTGGAAGATGAACCAGAACAGCGAGAAACTGGAGCCAGAGAGACCGGCTAAAAGATTTAATGTAATCAAATGGATTTGTCCTGCATCCCCACTATCTTAAGGCCAACCTGATAGTTTCTAGACAAGTATCTGAGAGAAAAAATACGCAAAGAAAAACACCCTGCTGCCTGGCTGGGCATGGCTCGGCGGTTGAGCATCAACCTAGGATCCAGGAGATCGTGGTTCAATTCCCGGTCAGGGCACATGCCTGGGTTGCAGGCTCGATCCCCAGTGCAGGGGTGGTGTGTGTGCAGGAGGCAGCCAATCAATGACTCTCTCATCATTGATGTTTCTATCTCTCTCCCTCTCCCTTCCTCTCTCTGAAATCAATAAAGATATACTTAAGAAAAAGAAAAACACCCTGCCTTGGCAACTCAATAAAAAGCAACAGAAAAGCAGACATTTACCAACGTGATCAATGGTTCTTTCTTATTTTCAGCTTCTAGATTGGATGCACCTTTGTTTGATCAAGGCTGTTTGGAAGAATGAGACTGAGAACAGGAAAACCAGCTAAGGTCACCATGTTCATTCCCCTGAGAGTGACACAGAAATGATGAACTTTGGTTTCTTGGCCTTTTCAAGTTCTTGATGATTTTCCAGTGTGGCCAGTTCTGCTCAACTCCCCAAATACCAGGGGTTCCTGAGAATCTTTTTATCTTTTCACCCAACAAGAGAGGCTCCAGAAAGTTTCTGGGGTGGGGCAGGTAAAACACAAACTCTGCTTTTATCCTTTCTCCCAAGAGTTGGCTTTACTTAATTAGGCCTATAATTTCACAACCTACACCACCTGCAGCACATGTCAGAAAACAGCTGAGTGCTAAAGTTGTAAGAGGCAAAACATTAAGAGGAAAATGAACCCCTGGATGAGTGGAAATAGGTGACTGAGTTCTGCGGTTAACGCAGACCATTGTTCATTGTGAAGAAGATGGGAGAGCCTCAGATCTTCACGTGCATGCACCCTGCAGTCATCAGATCCCTCATCTCCGAGTTACGGTAACTTGAGTCGTGCAGATGATTATCAGTCACCTGTAGACTCGATGACTCAATGTGTATGAAACTCAGAAGGGTAAGCTACAGTAATTGAAAAGCCAACAGCTCACGTTTCTTTAGTAACACACTCATAAAAAAAGGTTAGTCAAACCACAACAGTGTAACTGCTCCCAAACCTGCACGGAGCCTCTAGTCCAGCTTCTAGTCAAAATCATACCACACCTTTGAATGACTAATGATAGCAGCTTCAGGCTGAATTAGAGGTTTTGCTTCCAATGAAAATACAAATGGCAGCAGCAACTTGTAAGTTTAGAAACCAAGGCTGCCTGGCTGGGCTATCCCCTACCTGTAATCCTTTTTAAAGGTGTCAATCCCTAATATTTAGGCTTTGGTAACTCTACTAAGCAACCACTTGTCTGAATTGCTGCAGTGTGTCCAGGGCATATGGCTGTTGCCTTCTAAGTGCCAACTTCAAAGTACAGAATTACAGCCTAGAGCTAAAAAGGGACCTTCACTGAGCATGTGGATTCAGTCCTCTGCCTTTGGGGACAAAGGACAAGATCCACCATCCTAATCTGTTTACTTCTGGTCTTTATACTTCACAGTACCTAGTACTGTGCCTTATAGGTAATACTAATAAGAACAGCTACTATTTATTGAGTCTCTACTATATACCCAGTGCTGTCCTAGGTACTTTGCATATTGTCTCATTTTACCTAAGATGACTTATCATCTCTTAGTCAGATGAAGAACCTAAAGTGCAAACAAGTTGATTAACTTGCTGAGGCTGCTCAGTTGGTAAATGAAGAACCAGGATGCAATCCAAGTATGTGTTTGAGCATTAACTGCTGTTTCCTGCTGCTACCTTTCCTGTGTCAGCACAATCCCAGGACCGGAAGTGACTTCAGGGAAAAGCAACTGTGCTTTGTTCCATAGGGACCAGCACCACGCATTCAAGAAATATCTATGATGCGCAGCTATGATGTCTATATGGTGCACAACAGAGTGCCTGGCATATGTAAGCACACAATAAGTGATGGATCTATCATCATCACCATCATCATCATCACACCATGTTAGGTACTTTGAGGAATATAGACATAATTGCAATCCAATAGGAGATGCAGCATTTACACAATTTCATTACAAATCAATATCCTTAATATGATGTGGTGAAACTGAGTATAGAGTAGCCAAGAGAGTGAAGAGAGAAAAATACAGACCACTTCTCAAACACGCCACACATAACACGTGACAAATATCAATCTATTATTTTCTTTAAAGTCTCCTTGTAATCTGAGGTGGTGGCAGTGATGGTGGTGGAGACAGTCATATATATCACAGAAAGCAGACGGTTAATCTTGCCTTGAGTGCAGAGGGAGAACAGAGCCAAGAGAGAGCTCAGGAGAGTAGATGAATATAGACCACGTGTACCTTTAAGGGCAGATGTGAGGGCGGGCATTTCAGACAGAGAGCATGGGAAGAACAATTACATGGAAGTAGAAAAGTATTACATAGAAGTGGGAGTACATTGTGGCTGAATTAAAGGAGTAGTTAGCTGAAATGATAATATTAGAAAAGGCAAATTGGAGACAGAATGTGGAAGTCTCAGACTGCCTCAGTGGTTTGGATTTTATTCCAATGGGGAGGCATTGAAAGGTGTTTTGGCTTTTGTGTGTGTGTGTTGGGGGGGGGTGGTTGAGAAGGGGAGAAATGTTTAAACATTATAAAAATAACACAATTCCAATATTGCCATCATCATGATGGGTAATGTGAAATATTCAAGTTTGCTTTGTATTTAAGTTATTTGAGTCACTTGAATTTATTTGCTGCTACCTTCATATAATTTCCTATGTGTATTATCACTTACTGCAAGCACATATCCAAAAAAGAAAAAAAAAGGCAGGTAAGTAGGGTAAATGGGGTAGATGGAATATCTGATGATGATTATGCCTCTGATTTCAATCTAAATGAGACTAAAGTGACTAACACTTCTTCCAGGAGGAGGAAAGCAGAGGGGAGCCACAGAACAAGAAGCAGGAAGGAGAGAGAACAGAGAGAGCTGTGGGGGTGGCTGTGAGGAAAACTGAGCTGGAGACCACATTTTTTTTTTTCTGCTGCAGAAGCCTTTGTCCTCTGTGAGACACAGTGAAGTGCTATTTGGATGTTGTCTGTCCTGATGGAATCACCAGCAGAAGACACTTCTTTTCTCAAGAAAGCACACCATGGTGGGAGGATGAAGAGGGTAAAAGGGCCAAAATTATGGTGACAGAAGGAGACGAGACTGGGTGGTGAGCACACAATGCAATACACAGATGTATCACAGAACTGTACACTTGACACTCATATAATGTATTAACCAATGTCACCCCAATAAATTCAATTTAATAAAAAAATGAAAACACAGGGAGAATAACTGCCCTTCTTCAGAGTTTTTTCCCCACAAGCTTTCAATGACTAGACTCCTCCCTGTGCAAAGGCCCTGTGTCCCACACAGGACATGCACTGCTCTGGGTGACCTCCCTTAGACTGCAGCACTTTCCAGCCTTAGGTTCTGGCCCTGCTCTGTCTCTCCACCTATCTCCTCCCCTTTCCCTTCTTGGTAAAAGAACTTCACTGGATGGTTCCTGATATCCCTTCAAGCTCTAAAATGCTGTGATTTTTTAATGCATATAGGATTATGGATTTCAGCCTTTTGGGAAGGGGTGGGAGAAGATACTTTGTGCTCTTAGAAACAGGCATTAAAACTGCTTCCTGTCACTCTGTTAACCAAAGCGGACAATTTCTCTTTAGCTACTTCACAGGGGGAATTGATGGTGTTTGTTGAAGTGTCAAAACCTCACTCATATGTTTACCGCAGGTGAGTGAGATCTTTTTTCATGTTCGTTTAGACATGAAAACTTCCTTTAATAAAGTAATATATAAAATAAAATAAAAATAAGGAGATGCTATGGTAACCACTTTGGTCTGAATAACACATCTGTTTTTGGAAAAAGAATGAAAATCAGAAAAAGCAATATGCAGAAATGAAGTCATTTTCCTCCTCCCCCCAGGAGAGAAATCTGGCCTCTATTTTGAGCCAAGTATTTGAAGATGGCCTAGTTAGAATTATAGTCCAACAAGTTTATAACAGGAGAATAAGATTCAGAGAAAAGACAACCCATAAAAGGGTTGGGCACTAAAAGTAAGGTCTTCTTGTCCTTTGAAAAGAACAACTAAGAAGAATTATTTTGATGATGGAAAGATACTGGTTTCTAATGAATGTGTATCAATTTATTCCCCATTTTAGAGAACGTGATACAAAATTTCTTAGAAAATTAGGAAAATGACTTTATTTTTCTCCTACTTGGGCAATTTAATTGCATTCTTACTCTTCAATAGAGGCATGCATTTTTTTGTTTGTTTCTAAATGCATTTAGACTTAATCCAATAGGTCCCTCTTCCTCAGTTTGATTCTAATGGATGAGAAATGTTACCTACTGGTAGTTATCTCTAGCCTGCTGGGAGAGCATCAGGCTGACCTGATGGTATAATTTCACCTTTACCCTCACAGTTCAAGAGGTCAGGGAAGCCAAGGTTGGTCTGAGTGCTGTGCAACTGTCAGCAAGGATTAAAGGCAGTGACTCATTCTTCCTTCACACTTTACCCATTGCCATTTCCCTGGCAGCTGATGTTTTCAGAAAATGGTGACTTGGAGAGGAAATATAGGAGAAAGAAGAGAGAAGAGAAGAGGGGAGGAGGGAAACATTAGCCCCATATATTTTACATCACTTCATATCACACTGTCATAGTGTTCCTTCCCCTGCCCCCCTTGATATTTCTATTTTCTATCAAAAAGGTTGATTCAGTTAAATGACTCAAGAGCTTTATTTTAAAAAATATCTCTAAAACAAAGGTTCAGGATATAAGCTAATGCTAGAAGATTAGAGCAATGTTCAGGAACAGGAATATCACAGGCGTAGCAGGAGCTCTATAACCATTTCAGGATGAACGAATGGATGAAAGAGTGAATGAACAAATAGTGATGCCCTAAGTCAAATATATAACTGTTGAGCTAACATAGCTGTTTTATAGAATCTCAGATTCATCTTACTAAAAAAAACCCCTAAAATATATGATATGGTTCCTAACATAAACATCATATTTGTACCACCTTGAGAAAAGAGTTATCTGAAGTTACACAAATGGGCTTGATAAACACAAAGGGTATTCATACTTACTGCCTTTTCTAACTCATCTCACAGACTCGTAGAGAGGGACCTTCTTGATCACTCCATCACCTATTCGGTCTCCTCATTTCACAGATGAGTAAACAGAGGCCCAGATAGGTTACGTGATTTGTCTAAACACACACACAGTTAAGAAATGACTGAGCTAGAATCAGAACCTGGGTCTTTTGGCTTCTAATCCAGGGTTCTTCCTATTGCACTATACCACAATTTACCGAAAAAAATTTCCCCCAGTTATTTGGAGTCCCTGAAGCCCTGAAGTTGCCACCTCAGTGCAAATTGAGAGCTAATGCTACTGGGTTTCCTGATTCCACACAGAGAGAATGTGACGATGGTTCAGAAGATGAGAGAAATCAACCTATAAGATCAGCATCTCTCATGAGTCTGTAAATGGTGGCATAAAAATCCTCTGGCCATAATGGTAACAAACAAATGGAACATGAGTCCCTGATGCAGTGAGTAAAATGGCATGGACTTGGACATAAGAAACATGTGTTTTTAAATCCATGAAAATACCAAAGCAACTTTTATTATATTAAGTAGGGCCTTAGCATAACAATAGGCATGGGGCAGCTATAAGAATTAGGTACCTTCTCTCATATTTTAGTTCTCTCAGACCAAAATGAATTGACCATGACTAGGTTGAAATTAAGTCACTTTACATCCTTTTTCTTGCCCATTTCTCCCATGTCCCTCCCCACATCAGCTACAGCCATTTCTAGACTCAAAACTTTCCCCAAATTAAGTTACATTCATGGCATAGAATAACAATTCAAGCTTTCTTTTGTACTCCAGTCAGAACTATTTTATACATGTAAAGTTCAAGAGAGATATGAGCAACATCTTAAGATAATGTCTTGGAATCACAATTAAGTCCACTGAGCCTAACTCCATATGGAAGCCCATACATGCCCGCTGACATCTCTCACCAAGGAGAGGAAAGATGGGAAGGAGGAGGGGGTCTCCCCGAACTGAAACGCAACAACTTTAGTCTGACATGATTTATTCTTAAAGTGACTAAAAGGGTGCAAACGCTTTTCAGCTATTCAAAACTAATAAGCATAAATACCAAACTATGTAATTTTGAAATATATGGGTTCTTTCAACATATCTCTATAATTCACATAAAATACCAGCCTGTAAAAAATTATCTAGACCAGAATAAAATTTAACCAGATTTAACCAGATAGGCACTTCATATCTGTAAAAGCTATTGGCAAGAATAAACACGAAAGGACGGGAGTCAGAAATCAACAGCAACAGCAGCTTTGGAAAAACAGACCAAGAGATTTCTAAAATATCATCGGTGCTGAGGGAGGTCTATTTTCATGTGATAACTATTTTTATTCAATAGCACTGACTTTCAATTTATAGCAAAATTGATACATTCAATTTAGCTGCCTACTTCACAAATACAAATCTATTTTAAATATCATGGTCACATTTTTGTAAGCATCTGGGAGAGTTCAGCAAAATATCTCTGCCTTTCGGCAGTCTTAATACCTTAATGGACATAATTATTTCTTAGCCATCTCCTTATGTTGTATTTTTTGACAATGTGAAAACCAATGGCATAAAAATTAACTCCAGTAAGATAAATGACTAAATCAAGTCTTATTATTTAAATCTATGTTTTCCCAACCACTTTCTCTTAAAGCCAATTTTGAATCAAATTCAAGAAAATATGCCAATACATTTTAAAGCATGAAAAAAGTTTGAGCATGATAATGTAACCAACTTGTAAAATATAATTACAAAAATGTTATCTTGAACATCTTACTGGTGTACACTGCATAAACTCATGCAACATATGTCATTCAGAATAAAGAAGAAGGAACAGCATTTATAACACCAACTCCATTTAGGAAACTGGATACCAAATACTCCTGTCTTCAACTGTAAAGATTCTTTAGTTAAAACATTTTATTCTATTTGCTCCAGTTATCAGAATGAATCATGAAGAATAAACGTGTACAATGAAAAAGCAATTGCCTTATTTTAACAGAGATTAAGCTAGGAAGGGCCTGTGTAGTAAGCATCCTATGTTATCTCATTCAAACTATCTGCTAACAGCAGCAGGAAAAAGGGTTTTATTCTTACCAATGAATTTCTGAGGCATTGAGCTTTTTCGTTTTGCCACATTGCTTGCTAATCTGTCCAGAACGAGAGCTCTTTCACTTCCCATCTCTGCTTTGATGTGTCTTGCCTCCGCACTTGCTGGTTTGGGAAAATGTAAAAAGAAGAGGGGAAAAAAGGTTGGTAAATGGGAGCAGAAGAAATAAACTGGAAGGAAAAGTGTCAGAGATCTGATGCACACTCTTGTTACCGGTTATTACTGCTCAGATTCTTGCCTGAGGGACCTGCTGTGGTCAGTGAAGCCAGCACCAGGGCACATTCAAATCTTGCAGTCCTTATGCTGAGATGGGAAAGCCCAACCCATCCCCAAACAGTACCTTCATTAGCAAGAGGAAGTATTAAATAAACAGACTGGACGTGGTTGGTTGCAAAAAGATAGACAGAGATCTTCTAACCTCCGATCAGCCTTCTTTCTGATTCTGAGTAACTGCGTGTGACACCTGCAGACTGATATAATTCTTCTTAACAACTTTGAAAAAAAAAAGTATGGTGCCCCAGATTTACTGCTCTGTTTATGTTAACAGCACTTTTGAAAATAGATACACTTACCCAGACAGCAAGAAATCTACTCAGTGATTTGTGTATTGAAATTCTGAGTGGTTTTTTTCTTTTTTTTTTTCCAGCATGCTTCTTTCAGTTCCTATCTTTTAAAATTCTATTTCTCTGTCTCAGTTAAAACTTCCCTGAGCAACACTTCTGTCTTGAAATTAAAGAGCAATTTGTATAATGCATTTTTATTACATTTCTAATGAAAAATGTGAATAAAAACTGCCTAAGAAAGTGGTCTAATTATCAATCCATGAACAGAACTTCCAGTTGTGTAGGCCTGTGGTTCTCAGATGTGCCTGAACATTAGAACCACCTAAAGGCCATGTAAGACTCACCTATGGCCAGGCCCCTCTTTTAGGTCAATTAAATCAGGATCTCTGGTGTAGGGGCCTAGGCAGCAGTATTTTTAAAGTTTTCCAAATGATTTTAAAATGCAGCCAGAATTGAGAACCTCTAGAAGAATATCTAATCAACTAAATAGTTAATAGGAATAAATATAGTATAATTTACCCTTGTACAGCAAGCAGTCCCCAATAAGAGTTCATGTTTAAAGTTCAGAGATACAAGCTGCTCTAAATATAAGGCTTTAAAGTTTAACACATGATGCTAACCCAAGCTAGAGATCAGTAAACTTTTTTGCAAAGGGCCAGATATTTTAAACTTTAATGGAACACATATTGTCAGGGTGACAGTCTCTGTTTTGTTTTGTTTTGTTTTTAACCCAACCCACCACCCTTTAAAAATGTAAAAACCCATGTATACAAACAGGCTGTTGGCTACATTTGGCCTGAGGGTCATAGTTTGCTCACTCCTGCCCTAAGCAAATATGTTGTAATACTACAAACATTTCTCTCTGTTTCATTATAAGCATTTCAGGAGGTCCTAATTACAATGAAGGATCCATACATTTCTAATGTCTTTAAGGAAGAAGACATTGAAATTAAATGATGATAGTAAAAAGCAAGTGATGATTGCAGAATAGATTTCCCCCCCAGCTATATATACAGACTTAGGAACTGTCAGTGCTTGTTCTGGAGTTGAAGAGTTTGCTGTGTGAAGAGTTTCTAATATATGGAAATAATGTCACCAATTCCATGGTATCTCAGACATTCAGTACCACAAATGGACATATCCAAAGAGAACACTGGTCACATCTGCAGTAAATGAGACAAAAAAGCCTCCAGGGCAAGACTATCAAGTATGGTCAGGGCAAGAGAACAAAAGACAAATTAGAAAAAGATAAATCAAAGTATTAAATATTCTTTATTTTATTATTGGCATGTTTTTGGTTTTGTTTTTTTAAAACCCTATGCCAAACATTACACAATAAATTATAAAACTCAGAATTTTTAAAAATCAGAAATAAAATGAAATCTGGCTCCAAAAATGATTAAGAGGATGATAGTAATGACCATATTTACTTAGACTTTGTGAGTTTCCTATCAAAAATAATTCTATGCTCTAAAGAAATAAATCCCAGGCTCCAGTTTAAGCTATCAACAATACTGTTTGTGTAATGAAAACAGGGTCAGAGTAAGAGGCTTGGCAGCTTTGGGGCTAGTGGTGAAGTATTGCAACTTTGGCTGACAACCGTTGTAAACAACTGTCACTTTAGTGACAGGACACTGCTGTTGAGTGAAGTGGATCAAATTCTGTCCAGCACAGGGATAAGTTTAAATGACCAAACAGGAAACTATTATATATATAATTTCCTTTCACACAAACCACCGCCAGATGTGGTAGTATCCAGATCCCCAAGAGCAGACAGATGAAAGACAAAGGCCTGGGATTTGAAGTAAGTTCCTGAGGCTATTAGATGGAGGCCTTTTCTCAGAAGCATCAGACAGGCAGCTAAGTTTGTGGTCTGACTGGGGACATTCATCCTGGTTTGAACATCTCTGAAGAGGATTAAATCCAGGTAAGTCTCCCCCGACCACTCTGTATTTATGATCAAAAAGGTTTAGAGTGAAATGAGAATAAAGTAACAGTACTTTGGAAATTTTTAACTTTATCCCCATTTTAGCACTATTCTTACTAGTCTCTTCAGTCTCTCCTCTAATGGCCCTGTCATTACCCAGAGGTATGTCCGTTTAGTCCCAGGCCTTTCTCCAAGCATTCTGCTGTTAGTCTAGTTTTCCCCCTTGTCTCTCAGTAGCCACTGTCTACATTTTACCAAAGTCACTATCAATTACCACAGCAGCTGTCTGAGGACGCATACTCAATATCCTCTATATCTGGGAGGATGCTAAAGCAGGGGACACATTGACCTAAATAACGTAATTAGGGCATGTCACTAAATGGCAGCCCTCCGAGATAACATCACCTTTTTATCCCTGTTTACTCACCATGCTTGTCTTGACAGTTATTTCTAGATAAATCTTACCCTGTAAATCAGTGACCAAATGACTCACATTTAAAACACAAACTTCTGGAGGTTATGGATAGACAGGTAATTTGAGGCATGGGTGGAGACTTTTCCATTTTCCTAATTCTGGTTAGTTTGAAAGAAATCTGAAACTCAACTAGAGGACTTCATCCACCCATACCCTCACTCAAAATACCAACTCCAAGAGCCAAACTCTCATTGTACCTGTGAATACACTCTAGAGATTTTTATTGAGTTAACTGTGTTTTCTAATTGGCAAGTTAAGCAAAGGCTGAACTTTTTTAAAAATTCTCACCCTAGGATATTTTTTTCCATTGCTTTTCAGAGAATGGAAGGGGGAGAGAGAGAGGAGGTGGGGGAAACATAGGTGTGAAAGAGACACATCTATTGGTTGCCTCCAGCATGCACCTCTGACCAGGGCTGGGGATGGAGCCTGAAACCGATATACGTGCCCTTGGCCAGAAATGAACCCAGGGCTCTTCAGTCTGAGGGCTGACACTCCAACCACTGAGCCAAACTGGCCAAGGCAAAGGCTAAACTTTTAATTGAATATTCTGCACTCTCATTTTCTTTCCCAAACTGCTAGTCTTTGCCTTGCAATTCTTGTACAGCTGCTGTGCGATACCATTAAATGAGTGCCCTTTAAAATAAAGAAATGCTATAGAGTTAGACAATCTTTGGGGTACAAAGAGTTTAGGCAATAACAGAAAAGAAAGGAAAAGGAGACTACTGGTTTTTGGTCCTCTGCTTCACTCTAAGACCCAACTGTCTATTTATACAAACAGTCTAGACTTGTTATCTTGCTGCATCGTGTCTCCGAAATGTAAGTGGAGGGAAACTAGTTTGGCAAGATAGTAAGGGAACAAGATAATGGGTTTAAATGACAAAATAGGAAATCCGTTCCTGGGTGGTGTTTGGCAGTTTAATGTTGCAAGGGGGTGGGTGTGGGGATATGGGATGGTGGCAAGGAACTATCTGCACACTTGGTTCATGAGTAAGCACAGGAGTAGGACTGTAATTCTGGATCAATTCCCCTTCATTCCACTTGCCTACTGTATAGTGGCTATATCAATTTTCATCAGCAAAATTATTTAAAAGACATGTTGAAGAAAAATAATAAAATGAATATGAAGTCTTAATTACAAAATAGATTACTACCTTTAATCTCTGTGCAAGTCTGAAATAGTTTGTCTGGTTTTTAGTTACCTGTTCCCATGATGCCATTTCTATCTCAAAGTGATTGCAGGTTTAAATATGTAATTTGTTGTATTTTTGTTTTTGTTCAAAATCCTTCATTAGATCTTGAAGTGTTAAATGGAGCTCAAATAAGAGGCATGCTTCCTGTCTCTTCTATGGTGTCAGTAGCTAATGGAGAGTGGAACAAAGGGGTGTTATTGTGCAATCAGAATTGTCTAACAAGAGATTGCTATCAAAGACTGGGGCAGGTTCTAACAAAAATGTTACATAAAAATCATTGCCTTTTTGAGCAAGTAAAATGAATATCACCTGTAAGATAGTATCGATTTTTAAGCAAAATAATCAGTTTAAGAAAATAGACCTTTTTTTTGATGTGAGAGAGACACATCTACTGGTTGTGTCCGGCACTCACCCTGACCAGGGGGGCGGGAAGCGAACCCACAATGCTTTGGTGCACAGGCTGATGCTCTAACCACTAGGCAGCACCAGCCAGGGCAGGAAAATAGACTTTTAAAACATTTAAAACTTTTTCTTTGGTCTGCTACTTGGAAAAAATATAAGTTTATTTGGAAACTCTCATGCTTGTATTAGCTCAACTGAAACAATGTGAGTGAAGATAAAAGGTTTTGACTCCTAGATTAATAAATATAATTATACAATTACTTTAAAAATCTTTTTATTGCTAGAACTTGTCATACAAAAATATGTCCTGCTCCAAGTGCTCATAATTTGTGTGAAATGAGGCTAATGAATCTCTATGCCAGCTGTTAGTCCCTTTCTGGAATAAGGATCAAACTAATGAGAAAATAAAACCTGTGGGCTTCTATATTCGTTCTTCTTTTCATACATACTGCATTAAGACAGCAGAATTTGAGTACCTTCATGATGTCACTTGTGACATCTGGTGAAGAAACGTGGCTGAAGTAGCAATATCATACATCTCTATTATATCAATAGATCAAGTGGCCACTCCTTTGTTGGATTGTGATTCTTCAAGAGTAGGGGTTAACCTTCACTTATCCTTACAAACAGCTCTGACACAGAGCCTGACGCATAGGGAATACAACAAATGCTATCTGAATAAAAGAAAAATGAGTAGTAAGGCCAGAGGTCCTGTTGCTCAGCACAGCTTTCTTTTGCAGACTAGACTCCAGTCTGAGGCCTTTTTTCTGTTCTGCTTCCATAATGGTCTGCTTCTTGATGGGGGCAGATTGGTCCCAAGGTTGGGCTCTCACACAAGGCTGGACTTCAATTTACAATAAGCACTTGATGAATAAGTGCTGCATTCACAGTAGATATGGAGCATCATCACTTTAAAAGTCAGGGATGAAGGGATAAGATGCACCACTGGTGATACTCTAATCATCAGGCTCAGAATGGAACACCACGTCCAGACAGGAACTCCCAATTTTAGGAGACAGAAAAGGAAACCATATAGAGAGAAGTGGCAATAATTAAATGATTGTCTTGTGTTGCATTAAACATTCTTTACATTTTGAACTTCAGGAAAAATCATAAGAACTATTTGAAATATAAGAGTAATATATTGACTGACATGCAGTATTTATTATACCTGATTAAGTTGTGACTTTATACACTTTGTAACCTGAAACTGCCATTACAACATATTTGGTTTTTTAAAAAAATCAAAACTTGCTTAGTTAACCCCCCCTTTTGTTTTTTGCTGAGACTTAAAGTATGCTGCATGCATCCATCAAACCACCTTTATGAAATGCGAATTAACCTTTATATTTCAGCATTTCCTGAATCGCCTTCTACCACAGAAGATAGCTAAAATATTTCTTTTGATAACATTCTAATTTGAAATTCCTAAAAAAAGTAATGGAGTGAGAAGGTGGTAACCTTACTTCAAAATCAATAATTTTAAGCTTACTGTTCATAGAGGGTAGGGTACTGATTTTCCCCCTACTTCCAGGAGAATTAAGACATACATATATGCATATGTATGTGTCTATTAGTATGTGTGTTACTATATTTATTTTGCTAATCAAATAATATATAACCTTTTAAAAATATAGCCATGTTTTCCAAAAGTGAAAACAGTAGAAAAACCCCAATGTCCATTAACCAATGAATGAATAAATAAAACATGGTGAATCCATAGGATGGAATAGTATTCGGCCATAAAAAGGAATGAAGTGCTGACACATGCTACAACATGGACAGACCCTGAAAACATGCTCAGTGAAAGAACCTGGACATCAAAGGCCACATATTATACAATTGCATTTATGTGAAATGTTCAGAATAGGCAAAACCATAAAGACAGAAGGCAGATTAGTGCTTGCCAGGGCCTGGAAAGAGGAGAGATGGGGAGTGACTGCTAATAGGGGCAGGGATTCTTTTCAGGGTGATGAAATGTTATGGAATTAGTGGTGATAGTTGTATAATTTTGTGAATATATTAAAAACTACTAAATAGTACACTTTAAAAGTATGAATTTTTTGGTATGTGAATTATTCTTCCATAAATTAAAAAAAAAATTGATTGATTTTAGAAAGCGAGCAGAAGGGAGAAAGAGAGACAGAGACATTGATTTGTTGCTCAACTTATTTATGCATTCATTGGTTGCTTCTTATATGTGCCCTGACCCGGAACTAAACCCAAAACCTTGGCTTATCAGGATGACACTCTAACCAACTGAGCTGCCCAGCCAAGGCTTTCCATAAATTTTTGAAAATAAAAAATATTGTTAATCATGAAAACAATGAAAGTTCTAGTGAATTTTTAGTCGGTCACTGAATTTTTAATGAATCTCAATTTCCTTACCTCTAAAATGAGGAGGTAGGATTAGATGCTCTCTTTAATCTTTCTAGCTTTAAATATTAATGATCTATTTGGAATATAATAGATTTTCATAACTTGGGAATTTCTCACAGTAAGAGCTTTGTCTATGGTCTGAAATATGGAACTACAAGCAAAGATGCCCAGGTATTGCCTGACTAACCTTAAGCATGTCACTTAAGATGTCAAAACCCACATTTTGGGTAGGTTTCTTTTAAGGAGAGTAAATGTTTCTCTTTAGAAATAAGGAGGAAATCCAACTCCTTGATAAAACCAAAGATGCCATCAGAATAAAAAGCAGAAGCAGTGTAAACCAACAGAATTCAGTTGGCCAGCTCCTAATACAATAAAAGTTTCCTCTCACTCAAAATGGGTACAGTTAAACTCATGATTTCCAATCCATTTTCCTTGAGTTCCACATTATTTCTGTCATATTTTTGTAATCTTTCTGCATTAGAATGTCCAAACTATTCAACTGCAACTACTACTGTCAAACACCAAATCTCATGAGGATTTATACCTAAGCAAGTGGTTCAAGTGGCCGAATAAAAATGTCACACAATCCAAGCTGCAGAACCAGGCTAATGGTCAATGGAATGGGACAAAGGACAGCTGCAGAGATGCAACACAAAAAGTTTCAGGCTGTTTCCACTGAAGAATGAAAAGGAAAACCACAACTAATATATGGAAAGAATCTAGTGTTTCAACCTATCATTGGTAGGCATATAATTCAAAACACTGAATAAAATATTACTAGAGAAGTATATGATTTGGGGGCCTTACGCAAAGAAATCCTTGCGGTTTTAATCAACTCTGCCCTAGCCACCCTTCAGGCTGCTCTACTCTCGATCTTTCCTATTTCAGTTCATGGCAACTGCATTCTTCATCACATCCTACACCAATCTGTTAGGAAATCCTGTTGGTGCTACCTTTAAATATATATAGAATTAGAACACTTCTCACTGCTCCTACCACAACCAAGACACAATTTTCTCTTGCTCAAGTGATTGCAATGGCCTCCTAAACAGACTCTCCAAATTCCAATCTTGCCCCAAATACAATCTATTCTCAATAGCAAGTAGAGTGATTCTTTTCAAAGGAGAAGCCCAATCATGTCACCTCTGTTCAAAACCCTCTGAAGATTTTCAATTTCACTTAGAGTAAAAGTTTTTACAATGGCCTACAAGGCCTGTTAAGATCTGGTTTCCCATTTCCTTTCTGGCCTCCTGTCCTATTACTCACTTCAACCACACAGGACTATTTATACTTCTTCAAACTCAAGCCTCAGGGCCTTTGCATTTGCTATTTCCTAGTTATCCACAGGGCTCTCTCTGCCTCCCTTTAAGCCTGTTAAAATGTCACCTGGTTGAAGCTTTCCCTGACTCACCCTCAGCCCCCAGTACCTGCTTCATTCCCCCCCTCCCCAATTATTTATTTTTTATTAAATCTTTTGGGGTAACACTGGTTAATAACATTCTATAAATTTTGTGTACAGCTTTATAATGGAACTTCTGTATACTCTATTGTGTGCTCACCATCTGAAGCCCAGTCTCCTCCCATCAGCATATATTTGATCTCCTTTACACTCTTTATCTTCCCCCTACCCATCATTTTTCTTGATACTACTTACCACCTTCTAATATACTGTATACATTATTTACTTTGTTTATGGTTTGTCTTTCCCCATGAAAATATTAAACTCCACAAGGGCAAGATTTTTTGGTCTTTTTATTTACTATTGTATCCCGCCACCCAGAACAGTAGATGTGTGAAGAATGAGTGTTGCAAAATAAACTCACCGGCTTCACCCAGGTCACTGCTCTGAAGAAATGTACGGCAGCGCTCCTTGTGCTCCTCAAGGGAACTTCTCTGCTTGTAACTCCTTCCACAAAACTCACATTTATAGGGTTTCTCAACTATAAGGAGAGCACAGGGGACACTCAGTGATCCTCAGGATTAGAACAAATAGTGTATGGGAGCTCTGTGAAAACTGCCTACTAGGAATGAGACTGCTGAGGGCAGCCAGAGAATTTGGATACTTCTGCATCTGCATTACTTTTAAATTTAGTAAACTGAAGTAAGGTTAAGGTCTACGATGGATTATTATGTCAGAGTATTCTTCAAAAGGACAGTCTCCTTTCACAGATGAAAGGATTTAGACTTAATGATTATTATTGAATATAGAGGTTTGACTCCAGATCCAATCTTGCTTCTTTGGAGAATAACATGGGGCTTTTTTATTCTTCAAGGAGGTTAGTGTGGTTTAAGAGTGAAACAGAAAAGGGTCACTTATTTTGTGATGTCCATCTGGTTGTAAGTAAAGAATGCTGTACTTAGTGAGAGTTAGCCATTCAGCTAGAAATTGATAGCCTTTTTAGAGCATTGACATATTTGGATAAATTCAGCTCATCATTGCCAAGTGGTTATAGCAAAGTCTGGACTAAATCAACAAAAACTGAGCAATGAACTAAGGATAATTTTGAATAATTAGAAATAAGAACAAATTGCAAAAATAACTTCACCTTAATTTCTAAGATAAAATAAAGGTTTCCTCAAAAGTTGATCCATACAGTTCAGGCCCTTTATAGTCCCAACTCTTCCAAATGTTCTATTGCTTAAAACATGTAAATAACAACTTCAACTCTGTGTACAGGGCTGGTCTTTATGATTTGTTGGTAAAATGTACCCTATAAATCTGTCAGAGTTTTAGAAACTGAGATTTTTATTTTCTAATCCTCTTGCTCTGTTTAAAACAGAACCTTTGGAACTTAAAGCACTAAAAGATCCTTATGGAATCCCAAATTAAAATAAATGTAGGTTTGCCAGGTCTAAAAATGTTAAGTTTCTGCATAAATTGGTGTCTTCTAGAATCTGTCTTAAAAATGACTAATACTGTTAGATCTTACTTGAAAAAAGCAACAGAAGAGAACTATTCTAATTTTTTGGAACAGATTCATTACTTTGAACACTGAGCTTTGAGCAAAACTCTTCTTTTGCCACTTATGACGTCTTACGGTGGATTTTGTTGGGGATGACTTGATTAATCCTTAGTCTCTGAATTGTGACCAGTTGAGGATTTGGGGCTGGGTTTTAGTCAAAGCAGTATGTGGATTGGCATAAAAACAAATCTTTTTTTTTCTTCAATTAAAATTTTGACAGATAACATCAAGAACATGAGGTCCCAAATTTGAAAAATAAAGTCAGTTTTATTTTTGTAGGAGGGAAATTCTAAATGTTGAAAACAAATTTATTATCTTGCTTGGTTAAAATCAGAAGTGAAAAACATTAAGACAGAACATTGTTTTGTATGAATTCTTATTTCTACTCCTCTTTTAGAGATTAAAAATAAATGGGCTGATCAAGAAGAAAGCTGGGTTTAAGAAATTTAGCCCATGCACACCTAAAACTAATACAATGATATATTATGCCAATGACAGTTCAATAAAAAAGAAATCTGGCCCAGAATGGCCCAAAAAAACCCCCCAAATTTAGCTCAGAATAGCCAAAAGTAACCACCTACCAATGATTTATATCCAGTTTACAATTTTACATAATTTACAAACTACACAACATTGAGTTGCCCAGACTTTTGAATGAAAGGTGTGTGTTTTCAAGGAAAATAATCTTTTAATAAAGTTCACCATAAGAGAATACTGATGGCTATCATTTTTTCGCAAAAATTAAAAAGGCACCAAAAATAAAATTAAAAAGGCATTTTTATAGGGCAGGCTCTTCCTGTCGGGTGTTGTTCTCTAGGGCAGCAAGAATGGTAAGGAGATGATCATCCCCATTGAGCCAGACGGAGAGCAATTAATGCCTTAATGGAAGTGTAATTAGCCCTAGAGGTCTCTGCTGTTGTAACCCTTCAGAACTGGAATGACAGATGAAAACCTCCATATTTAACTCTTTCTCATTTTCGCAATGGGCACTGAGGAACATACATTTACTAGATATGGAATGCTCATTGCTCTCACTTACCAGAATGTGTTCTAAGATGACCTGTGAGTGCATCTCTTCTCTGGCATGCGTAGTTGCAGAGGTGACACTTAAAAGGTTTTTCCCCTGTGTGCAGTTTAATGTGGCGGAGGAGGTTACCTTTCTGAGTAAAAGATGCCCCGCACTGATTACACTGGAATGGGCGTTCACCTTTAAAAAGGACAAAAAGGAGATTTCTGATCACTGGCAAGTGGCTAAGCCTGTGCACAGATTAGACGCCTATGGCAAAAGCTTATCTTTCAGACAGTTCTGTTCTTATTGGGGTCAGCTGGGAGCTGTATTTCCAGGCAAACATAAGACTTCCTTATGGAAACTTCCCTCTAGAAGAGAAAAAGCACTCACCTAGTAAGGCTATTTTAGGTATCACCTTGTCTTGAATCAGAGCAAAAAACAAAAACAAGAGTAGCTCTAGAAGAGCTTTCTAGATGTACATTTTTACACTACTTAGCATTCTTTTTAAAAATAATCTCAATCTGAAAAAAGAGCCACAGACTAGCTACTGAGGGCCAGAAATGCTTTTTAAAAGTATTCATAACAGATGGAAATCTATTGGGCTCAATGGGACTATTATACTTGTATGCATTTCTATAGCCTGTTTATTGGGTGAAGGTAAGTTTTTAAAAACTGGTAATAAAAATGATATCCTTTCATCTACCAAATTTGAACCCAATATAATGAGATCTGCTTTTCATAAAAGTTATGTAAAAAATCTAAGAAAGATGCTTAAGAAGTATATCGCACAATTCAACTCCTACTTATTAACTGAAGAAAAAATATTTGGCTGACCTAGAACACTGCTCTCTACACACTCCTTTTGTTATTCATAGCATTTATAATGTTTGCCAAATGCATGTGAAGCAGAAATAAAAATTACTGGGTAAATGGAAATGCAGAGAGGGAGAGATACATCAGAATTATAGCAGAAATCAATGAAAGTAATCAAAAGTCATCCCACATTCTACCCTTCATTTCTTACATGGCTGCATTAGGACAGTTCTCAGAAGAATGGATAAAGGAGACTATTTACCAGTATGGCTCCGCTTATGAACCATTAAGACATTGAAGCTAATGCAGGATAATCCACACACATCGCAGTTCATCTTGCCACTGGCCGGCCTGCTACTATCATACGAGACGTGTCTCTCCAACTTAATGTTTTCATATTCATTATACTCTCTTGAATAGCTGTAAGGAATTTCAGGCTCTTCTGCATTTCCCATGGGCTCTGGCTTCAAAACATTCTCATCCCTTTCACTATATTCATCTTTCACTTTCATCGAATCATCTGCAGGAAGGAAAATGCAAAAATGAACAATGATTGTATTTGGATCTATCAAAGCAGCTCAGAGAGCAGACCCGCAACTGACAATTAAATACCAAATGAAGCTAACATAATATTGTACATATATAAAACAAGAAAACACCATTAAGATGATCACTCATCATTGGAATTTAGAACCATAGTCAGGGGAACACACACACATCACACACACACACACACACACACACACACACACACACACACACACGACAGCATTTTAGGCCATCCAGAAAATTAGATGTAATAGATTTTAGATATGACTTCTCAAAGAATCTATGAAAAAATCATTTTGAGCAACTCTTATCCAGTACTGGGGGAGAAGAAAGGTTTTCAGATCTAGTACCTGTTTTGGTGGCTTCAATTAAAAGGCAATGTGATGTGCTCTTTGGTTTCAAGAAGAAAATACTGTTTTAGTTCTTCCAATGCATCCATTTTAAGCCACTAAGATTGAGAGTTGAATAGTTACTACAGTTTTTCTGATTTTAAGCCATACTTTGTCTCTTCCCCTTCCATGTAGATGAACTGCTAAAATGAGTCTTATCTATCTCTCTTGGAACTGATAAAGAGACAACATTAAAAGTACAGGAAGCTGGCAGTACTAGTGAAATACTGTTGAGAAAGATAAAAGGAGAAGTAATCTTTAACATAGCCTTCTGAGGAATCACTTTCATTGACATAGGTAAATGGAGCTCAATGTAAGCAAGGGGAAGGGCACCTATACCCACGTTAGGGAGAGCTAAACTCAAGATCCAAGAATTGTAGGACTGGATAGGAAGGAGGGTCTGGTCCAAGTGAGTTGGCTGACCAGGTACTATCTTTAAAAGAGTTGCAATGTAAGAACATAAGAAATGAACCAAGCAAATTTATGTACTGACACTAACAAAAACCTAAATATTTGCCTGATGTGATAATAATAAACATTTGTAAGGGATTTTTCATATCTAAAACACGCTACATAAGTGCTTACTTTTTCAAACATTTGTTCTTAGAAATTGGAAGTTGTACTTCTCCATGAAGAAACATAAATCAATGGAATTTTAGGACTGGAAGAGAATTTAGAGATTATCTAATCCAACCCTCTTGTTTTTCAGATAAGAAAATCTGGAAACGGAGATGGTTTTGGTTATTTGTTTAAGGTTACAGGGCCAGTTAATAACAGATAGGATTAGAATGCTGAACTTGGATTTGACCTCACACATCAGACACATAAAGTCTAAGTGGCTCATTACTGACATATTCCACACTCTCCCATCGATGGTGTAGACATTAAAAACCAAAACACTCTGAAGAAAAGATTATTTAAAAAAAAAAATCCCTTCAAAAACACCAGTGAGTGCAGCTCCTGTTGCCACATAGGAGGAAGTACAACTGCAGCTGTGCCTGGCTTGCTACCTTCAACCAAGTTTCAATTTTCACTTCTATCAAGCTTACCTTTCATCTATATTAACTGTGCTTGCTTAATAGAGCAAGACAGAGCCTAACCACCAACAGAGGAGCCATTGCTGCAACACTGTTCCACTGATTCTCACCACGGTTCATGGTTCACAACCTCTCACTCTTCGATTAAAAGAGATGCAGGGCTGTACGATAAGTCCAACATGTCTCAAATTTGCTCATCCTATGCATCTGAATTATATATGAATTGATATCCCTTTGCTAGATGGAAAAAGGTTCATTCCATTCTCTGGACAGGTCTTGCCTGCTTTCAAGTGGAATTTGTTTGCTTAAGCGGTTTTTGTTGTTTTTTTAAAAAATTTTTTAGAGAAGGATGCACCTGAGGTGTGTACTCTCCTCCCTTCCTCCATCACTCCAGCTGTGGGTGATATCCCACCAAAGCTTGAGTGCTCTTCAGTTTGCATGTAGGCGTTGAAAAGAACCTCAACGGAAAACTTCAGCTACAGAAAACCAAAACACAGCAAATAGAAAAGGGCCAGCAGAAAAGGATCCTTTTAATTTGGGTTATAAATGTTAATATGAACAGACTTAGGCCATTCCATGGTCAGTGACAATTAAAAATGAGTAAGATCAATGTGTTGGGTCTTTCTGAAAACACAATGAGTTGGCTCGTTCCCTCAGGGTTTTGGCTTTAATGAACTTGACTTAGACCTCAATGCTACACTGACCAGGCTCAGGATAAAATCTTGGCACTTTTCCCTTAGGACTTAGCTGTAAAACAAGGAAGACCTAAGGAAAATGGACAGGCATTAGAGAAGTTTCTTGGGATCAAACCCACAACCCAGGTATGTGCCCTGACCAGGAATTCAACCTGTGACCTTTTTGCGTACAGGATGATGCTCCAACAGAGCCACACCAGCCAGGGCTAGGGTCTTACCAATTTTAAATAAAAGATCTAGATGGCTTCTCTGTATGGTTACAGGGGATCAACAATTCATTGTGGTTTACCATGTGAAGGTAAACAGAGTTAAATATTAGAATACATTAGTATCTGAGATATAACTGGTATTCCTGAAAGATTATTGGGATTAGCACCCAGCCTCCAAATATAGTTCACCAAAACTATCAGGAAAGACACTAGACTGCTCTAAGGAAGAGAGTCATTCCATCCCTTGGGAGGTAGACTTATTGGAACAGAGGAAAAGAGGGCATTCTACTTAATATCTCCTGAAAATATTAATATGTATCTAAAATGAAACTTGCCATCTTTGAACCCAAACCTGCTTCTAATGTATGACTTCTTTATATTTACAAACGGCATTTTCCTTCTTCCAGTCTGCAAGTCTTGAAGCTGGAATTCTTTTCCTTTCAATTTTCACATCAAATCAGTCTCCAGGACCTATCGATTCTATGTCCTCAGGCTCTCTAGATGCCAATTCCCCTTTTCCATTCCCTTTGCAATTTAGTTCAGCCTATCATTTCATCATATCTACACTCATCCTCTCTCAACATTCTTTTCTACATGATTTATTCTTTTCTAGATGACATACTACAAAAGTAATCTATGCTTACTGCCCCTACAGCCTCAATACTGGTATAAAATTCCCTGTAATCTGGCTCCAACCTGCATATTTCACTGAATCTGCTCCCCTGAAAATCAATAATCTCCTGATTCCTAAATCCAATGGCCTTTTGTGTGCTATTCTCCCCAACTTCTCTGTATCTCCTGACACTATAAATCACTATTCCTTGTTCTCCTCTACTTCTGCTTCAATGAAACTACCTTCTTTCCTTACCTTTCAGATTGCTTCTTTATAGCTCCTTTTCCTCTCTCTGCCTCCTAAATACTGTTCTCAACGCTCTTTTTTCTTCCCTCTACACCCTCTCCTCTATGGTAATTTAATCTACTCTTAAGGCCTCAACTAGCATTTTATATGAATAATCCCCAAATATACATCTCCAGGTGTAATCTCTCTCTCCTTCTAGTCCCAAAGGCCTTCTGGTATCTTCTCAGTTACTCAGACTAGAATCTTTAGTCATCTTTCCTTCCTCTTGTTTGTGTCCCACATTTAATCACCTATGGCTTCTGTTTTTGCACCCTCTCTCCAATCTGCATGCCCATTATCCTAAATCTCAGACCTGATTACCTTCTCCATAATCTATTGTGGTGGCCTCCACATTGTCCTCTCTGCCTTTCTCTCTCCTTTCCGGGTCATACTATACATTACCACCATGTAGTTCTTCCTAAATGATAGCTTTGGTATATCATGGCCTTGTCAAAATTCTTCAATACTCTGCATTGTCAACAAAATAAAATCCAAACTCAGAAACAAAGACTTTAAAGGGCCTTTCAATATTTTGCCCCAACCGATCTTTATAATATTGATTTTGATTACTAAATGTCTTTAACCAAACTAAACAACTTCTAAGTATTCTTGATGTTATTATTTCCACTGCCTAAAAGGTCTTTCCCCACATTGCCACAGATCTAAATCCTACACATCTTTTAAGGCCAAACTAATATGTCATTTCCCCCCACTATGCCTTCCCTCAGCTGTAAAAAAATCTATTCCTTCTTTCTCTGAGTTAGTAATAAACTCGCCTCATCTCTTGAATGGACATGGAAACTATCTGAGGTTAGAAGATACACAGGTTTTTGTTTGCTTGTTTTTTTAACTTAGTATCCCCTAGAACCTATATATGTGAGACCAGAGGTTATGTAGTTTTAAAATAGAAATTTTGGGGTCTCACCATAGATCTACTAGTTGGGAATTTACACTTAAAACATGCTCTCTAGGTAAATCTTATGCACAATGGCATTTTAGACTGCTCTAGAGTTTGACATAGTGTTCTGCATAAAGTACATACAAATAAACACTTAGTACATGAATATATCACAGCACTAACCTCCTAACTGGCCCACAGAGTATGTGACCTCTATTTATATGATATCCTATTGCCAGATTAACCATCCTGTTGCACCCAGTTCAGAAACTTGCAATGATTTCATTTTGCTTACAGAATAAGTTCCAAACCCCTTAGAGACATTCAAGGGCCTCTCCAGAACCTGCCCCGACCCTATCTAATCATCTCATTTCTCACTAGTCTCCTTGAATCATCCTTTTCCCAAGACTAGAACCTTGCTACTCAAAGTGAGGTCCTTGGATCAGCAGTTCCAGTATGCCATAGGAGCTCGTTAGAAATTCGGACCATCAGGCCCCACCCCAAAACCCCTGGATCAGAATTAGCATTTTATCAAAGATCCTCAAGGATTCTTATGCACATTAAAGTTTGAGAAGCACATTAGCAATGTGACTAATCAGTTTTCAAAGCCTCTTCTCCAGTCTTCCCCGCACATCAACATTCTATTCAAACTTCCAGATGCTGTTTAAATGCCTTTTCTTCCATGCAGTCTTCCTTGATACCCTAAACTAGAAAAAAAAAAATCTGGTTTCTGTGCTTTCTCATATGCCTACCTCATTCTACTTTATATTAAGCATGATGTTATTAACCTCTACAGATTCTCCTTGTATAGCTGATGTGTTCATAAAATGTTACATGTAAAACCA